CCCCCTTTCCTGTCCTCCGCAGTCCGACGGCGGCTCCCGTCGCGTCCGCCAGCCCTCCTCCGCGGGCGTGCTGGACGCGCTCAAGCGCAGCCCCCTGATGCTGGAGCTGTCCGGCAACGTGCGCGGCCTGCAGGAGGCCTCGAAGCTCAGCGACGACGAGATCATCGGCGCCGCCGTGGTGCTGCTGCGCGAGCACGGCCTCATGGACGCCAAGGCCATCGTGTCCCGCGACCTGTCGGTGAGCCTGGGCGCTTTCCGGGCCGCGCAGGGGCAGCACGCAAGGGGAGCACACACAAGGGCAGCATGGAAGGGCAGAAAACAAAGCAGCACACAAATGCAGCACACAAGAGCGGCACACAAGGGTAGCATGCAAGGGCGGCACATGCAAGGGCGGCACATGCAAGGGCGGCACATGCAAGGGCGGCACATGCAAGGGCGGCACATGCAAGGGCGGCACATGCAAGGGCGGCACATGCAAGGGCGGCACACAAGGGCAACACTTGGTGCTGCCGGAGCAGCACCCAGTGCTGCTCCGGCGGCGTCCAGTGCGTGCCTGGTTGCTTTGCAACTTGGCAGGCTGGCATTGAGATGGCCGTGGCTACTGCGGGTCGAGCTGGCCCGGTGTTGCTGCCACACCTGCTGCTTGCTGGGGCCCTAGTCCGCACTCACCGCTGCCAATTTTCCCAACGCTCGGCCCCACCTACCCAGGTGCTTGTGCCCGCTGCCAAGACTGCCCGCGCCAACTGGGCCAGGGAGGAGGCTGAGCGCCAGGCTGAGCTGGCTGAGGCTGAGGCCCGTGCTGCGGCCGAGGCCGCCGGCGAGGAGTACATCCCCGGCACCGCCGCGGCGGCGTACTCTGCGCCCGAGCCCGCGTACTCGGCGCCCAGCTACAGCTCTTACAGCGCCCCCAGCTCTTACAGCGCCCCCAAGGGCCAGTACGATGACGTCATTGAGGCGCTCAAGCGCAGCCCCCTGATGCTGGAGGTCTCGCCCAACACCCGCGGCATCC